ACTCTCTCTCTCTCTCTCTCGCTCTCAGACCAACCAAACAACCCTACCTCTCTCTCTCTCTCTCTCTCTCTCGCTTCCGAGACCCAAACCAGATCCCTCTCTCTCTCTCTCTCACAATCTGAAACCATAACCTAAAACTCTCTTTCTATGGGTCATTGCTCTATAACCTAAAACTCTCTCTCTCTACAGGTCATTGCACTATATAGTGTCTCTCTAGATTCTGATTGATACCTCAATCTAGGCTCCAGATGGTCACGAAGCCATGAACAAGCGATTAATGGCAATCTGTGGAGCCCTATCACAGTCATTCATGGCGCTTGCTTTAGGGAAGTTCTCCATCCTTGTGGGAGGAGGTCAGTTGTAGATATATTCTCTCTCATTCTTTGTGCTATACCATTCAAGCTGCAGTTTGTTCCCCATTTGATGAAGTTGTTTGAGTTGATACCTAAAGCCAGATATCATTAATGTAATTTAAATTAGGTCGGTTTCCCTTTTGATTTTTTTGCATCAATCACTGCTGTTTTGTTGTAGTGTTTATCTTTTGTATTTTAGGTTTTTCTGAATTCCGGATTGGATTAATCATGGGCCAAGAGCTTCCAGCATTGGTGAGAATGTGATTATATAGTGGTCTGTTTCCCTTTTGATTTTTTTGCATCAATCACTGCTGTTTTGTTGTAGTGTTTATCGTTTGTATTTTAGTTTTTTCTGAATTCCGGATTGGATTAATCATGAGCCAAGAGCTTTGAGCATTGGTGAGAATGTGATGATATAGTGGGTTTAATTTTTGTTGACATTAGTCATCAAAGTCTCTTTTTATTTTTTTTATATGGGACTCTTGAACATGTTGTTGAAGTGTGAGAGATTTAGGAAAGGTGGAATCGTGAGCAGCTAGAAGATGCCTATGGTAGGAAACACAGTTCGTACAGTGCACATCACATGAATCAAGATTCTCAGTTTTTCGGAATCACACTCCAACCCAAATTGAAATGTGAGTTTTCTATCTTTTTGGAATTGCACACCTAACCAAATTGTAACTACACCCGAAATCATCAAAAGGAGTTTCATACGGCAAAAGGTTTGAGTTTCTAGAGTATCATTAACCAATAATCCCTAGTTATTAGAATCAATATATTCAGTATGCTTATCAGGGTTCCCTTAGTAGTAGAATGAAGTTTCTCGACAGTCCTAAGGACCTAAACAAGAGTTCCCCTAGAGGAGCCTTAATAATGGTTACCCACAGGTATTGGAATCAAGGTCGAGTGCCCTTAAAACTAGATTCTACTATTGGTACAATGGGCAGGGTTTGAATTGGTTAAAAAAGAAAAGAAAAAAAGGAGACACTAAAGTGGAAGTTATAGTATGAATTGAATATTTTCCTTTTTCATAATTTGGCCAAAATCTTTGCAATGTTGCTTCTTTCTAAGCTAATTTAGCTGGAATTTGGTTTAATGTGGAATTTCTCTCTCTAGGATTACTTGAAATGCCATATTTTTAGAGATTTTTATTGCTTTAATCTATTAAAATTTATTACTCTCTCTCTAAAATTTCTTGAGGAATTTTTTTTCTGAAATTTATCAAAAGACCCAAAGGATGCACTATTTAACATATTGCCCATTCAACTATTCCAACTGGAGACCATGTCTCTTTTATGGGTATATTTTGAAATTAAATGAAAAGATACGGGTAAAGTGTTAAATTGTTCATCTATCATGGGTAATTTGATAAATTTCCTTTTTGTTATGAGGATTACTTATCACTAGGCTTTTTCAGTCTTGGTAGTTCTTATATTTGTCTTTAACATAATTTATGATGGCCTCATTCAAACAGCATATAGCATTAAGCTTCTGTATATTTTTGGAGGCTTTTAATCAAGCAGTAAATCACATTAAGCATCTGTATTTAATGGAGTTAGCCAGACAACTAACAGACATATGCTCATCCAGAATATGCTAATCATGATCTGGATGATATATCTATGATATATATGTTTTGCATCCAAACAGGTCCATAATGTAGGTGTATATATTAATTATTCTTTTAATTATTCTTTTGATATTTAAGTTAGACATTTGTTTATATGAACCAGAACTTCTCTGTTAACAGGTTTTTTCTTGAAATAATTTCCTCTTTTAATTTTCAATACAGATTGCAAAGCTGTGTACTAATTTTACAATAGCCAATATCCCCTTTTAAGCTTTTGATAAATGTTGATTTGATGCCTCAGGCACTTCTCTCAGGGTGCTCTGCTGGAGGTTTGGCAACATTCATACACTGTGATGATTTTCGGGCACTCTTGCCAAAGGGTGTGACTGTGAAGTGTCTTGCAGATGGTGGTTTTTTTCTTGATGAGTAATATGTCTACCTATTATGATTCCTTTTTTGGTGCACCAGTACAGAGTTGGTTCTTTCTTCTGGAAAATTCCTTTATTGCATGATAATTTGCTAGCACTGCCAAGAGTTATTTCTTTCTCATGAAAAGCTCCATTACTTTGAGATGATTTTCTTTATGATTTTCCAAATATAAAATCATTGATTGTCTTATTCTCCTTTACTATGTCAGAAAGGATGTTTCTGGGAAGAGGTCCATAAAGTCTTTCTATCATGAAGTCGTTAGCATGCAGGTATCTCCTTGATGCACATATTTTTTTCCCTTTTTTTTTGGTTAAAGGTAAGCTGGGTTCGAGATACAAATATTTAATTTTATCTATTGTTTTTTCACCTTTACTCTGCTGTCCTCGTCTTGGACAAATTTGTTTCAGTTTTGGACTAATTCTTCAAAGTTTCCAATATGTTTGAATCTATGTTCAAAAAGCTAGCAGCCTAACCGCCTGGTGGGCCACCCAGGCAGCTGGGAGGCCTTACTACATCCAGCTGGGAGGCCTCACCACACCGCACTGGCCTATGTGGCCCAATGCGGGGCGATGACCATGGGCGGCCAACCATTCGCCAGGTAACCGCCTGGGGGCACCCATTGCATAGGCACCTGTCCGGTGCCCTTTTGGCAAGGACCGAAATTGCCCTCGCCAAAAGGGCCCAACATAGCATTTTCCACCTTGAAATGGGGGGAAATAATATTTGGGGGCATTTTGGCCCACCAAAACCCTAGACAACTATTCCTTTGCCTCAAAAACAAAATTTTTAGCTCAAAAACAATTTTTTTTAAGGATCGAAATTCTTATTCAAAGTTTTCTTGCAAAATTGAGAGGCATTCCACTGAATTTTTTCGAGATTAAAGAGGTTGCGAAAGACAGCTTTTGGCAACTGAAAATGGTCAATTCAAGCCTACTTCAATTGGTTTTTGAAAGGTTAGTAAATTTTAGTGTTTATGTTTAGGGTTTCATATTTTTTGTGAGTATTGTGTTATGTTATACTTTTTATCATTTTCTTTTGAAGTTTGGTTCTATATTTATGATGAAATTTTATGGGTGTTCCTTTTTTTTAGGGTTTCTATTTTTGTGATTATAATATATTTTTGGCAGTGTTTCTACTTGATAAAGCACATTTGAAAATTTATAATATATTTTTGGCTATACTTGGCTTTGTTTCTTTGTCAAAATTTTTTTCCTCTAGTTTCTCCTAAAACTTCTTTTGGCACTTTATTAATACTGTCAACTATCTCATTCTACATAACATTGACTTTGTGCTTAGAATTCCATTTTCCTTCTTTTACCAATTTGTCCCTAAATAAGTCTATGTTCTCCTTTTTTCTTCCACCACATAGTTTATTGGATGCCTATTAGTTTTTGGTGTAGGGAAATTTGAGGAAAACAGTAAAATCAGCAAGAAACAAGCCAAACACAAGTACAAGTCGAAGAAACCTGGGGTTTCTTCCTCATACCCCAAGCTAGGGTTCCAACAGCCTAGGCTTTTCTCTTTTTTAGTATTTAAAAATCATGCGGAATCCCCACTCAAAACACCACATATCTCTTATGTATTATAATTCAATGTTCAAAGACATTATATGTCCATACAATGATTAAAATGACCTATATATCATAACTTAAACTTCAATTTCGTAATGATAAATTTACCCATGTGAATAGTACCCACGAATAGTACTCATGAATAGTACTTGTGAATAGTTCTCATGAAATAAACAAAAAAAATATAAAAACCCTAGAATCCCAAAAAAAACTAAAAACCTAAGAAATAAGCCCTAAAAGAAAACTATAATATACATCCCTTTAAAGTTGAATGAAAGTAAAAAATAAGAACAATTTTTCCCTCCATCAGTTTCATTCTCTCTCTTCCATCTCTTTAGGTAGACATCCATAACCATGAGCTTATAATGTGTGGTCTAACTCTCTCCTGGGATAACCTTGTAATCTTCACATGATGGTTGATTTACCTTCTTGACTAGAAAGACATTTATCTGGCTTTTATATGATCCATTTTTATAAGTTATTAAATGTTCATCTCGCTTATTAAAGTAGGTGTTTGCTATTGCTAGGGCGTAGGCCATAGCAAAATCCAGGATAGCCTTACTTATCTCATTTATTTCCCCAAAGGCATATCCCTCGTGTATCCCTTCATATTCTCTACTATCTTTGCCTATATGACTATTTAAGTCCCCTACTAAAAAGTTCCTTTCTCCATTTGGTATTTCATGGACAAGTCCATCCATGTCCTCCCAGAATTCTCTTAATTTTATCCTCTATGTGCTACCTATGATGCATAAGCACTAATTACGTTAAGAATCTCCTCCCCTAACACGAGTTTGATTTATAGGAGCCTCTCACCTACTTTCTTGACATTAACTGCTTTGTATTTTAAATCTTTATCTACTATTATGCCTACGCCGTTTATTATTACCTTTTCTTATATACTAAAATTTATATCCTTGAATTTCCGTAGCATTTTCCCTTTCCATTTAGTTTCCTGTAGACAAGCTATGTTAACTCTTTTGCGTCTCATGGTATCCACTAACTCCATGCTCATGCCTGTTAACATTCCTACATTCTGTGTGGCTAGACAGATCATACTCTCTTACACACGCTTCTTTACCTACGGTCCTGCATAATGATGCAGGAACCCTTACCTACTTGTCCTTGTAACTGGGCATTGTTGCGGTGTGTTGTTTCGAGGGATGCCCTAGCTAACCTTAGTCATTTCTCACTGCCCTCGAGTATCGGTACAACGCATCACTTTAGGGGAACGGCCTAGGTAACTGTTGCTTATTTCTCACTGCATCGGGGGGGGCGGGGGGGGGGGGGAAGGTGCAGCGCATCGCTTAAGGGGAAGGCCTTAGCATGAGCATATAATATAGGTTCAGGATTCGTGATAGGATGTGGCAAAGTTTTGTGCTGGCTACCTACTTATTGCAACCCACCTTCTGTACTCGGGCTTGGAATGAATTAAGGAAAAGTTTAAGGTCCTCACCCTTATTAGATTATGCAATCGACCTCTTTTACCCTGACTGGGTTAACATGATATAATATAATATTGATAACCTACTCTAGGGTACTTCAGTCTAAAGTGACAGCAATTAAAGGGGTTTATTTAATTGTATCCATGCATGGCCATTTTGGGTTGGCCTGTGCTCTTTTTGGTTCATCGACAATTGTGATTAATTTAATTATTGATGCATGTTATGAACTCAGAATGTTCAAAGTTTTTAAATAGCAATTATATACTAGGAGACTATTTATTTTTGGTACAAGAAGCTCACAAATGTTTCTAGCAATTGAATGTGAAGTTCAATGGATTGAAGTGTGTCACAACATTCGAGAAATTTTATTTTTGACTTGTGCCAAATCAATACACATTCTCAACCACTGGATTTCAGATCCAATGGTCAATAATGATTGTGACCTCCTTGTATCAAAAGTAAATGGTCTCATTTCCTTTTAAATGAAAGATATGAATTCTTGTGTCGTTTTTATTTTGGATGGAAAAATAAACACGTTGTTGCCACAATTTGAATAATAATAATGTGTGTAAACCATTGAGATTCAGCTCATTTAATAACCTATGATGGTCATTTTCCATGTCAGTTTAGGTGAACTATTCAAAAGTGTTTCTTTAGATAATGATTCCCCGATATCTATTTCATGTTAAAGTTCTCGCCAATCATTAAAAAGAAAAGGAGACTGTGGATTCTATTTATCCTAATGTTTTCTCGAGAATTATTTGTCGAAGTGATTGGATCATTTATAAATGAATTTGAATACAATTTTTTATTGTCTACGGTATGATCTGTTTAAAAAGGGATCATGCATTCACTCAAAAACAAAAGAAGGGATCATGCATTTTGGTTAAGCATTCTTTTTCATCCTGATCCTATTGCAACGTAATGGTTATTCTGCTATTGAAATCACGTCTCAAAAATAATGTCATTTGTTTTCCAGTTCCTGTCTTGCAAAATCAAGTGTATGCATTCTCAGTCTCCGTCAAACCCATATAAAAAATTATGCGTGACATACTTTAATATGATAAATTCTTATTCCAAAACAAAATCATAACTACATATGCATAAAATCATCAACCAAAATTACCAAATGTTCTGGTGGTTTGTGATTAGTGCCAAACTCTTCTATCATCTTGATAATATGCCATCATTCTTCAGTTTGTTGGCCCCCCAGTAATCCCAACTGGATCTTAAGTGCATCTCAAATTTTCTGTTCAAGTTAATTATATAATATAAAAAACTAACTTTTGTGTTTGAGTGTTTTTTGAGATAAATGGTTGTTGTCGTTTTTCATATGAGAAGGTATTATGTATCCCGAGTTTTCCTTTGAATGCCTGCTATGGAATTAAAACTCAAAAAGTCAGAAAAAATATCTTCATGGGGATCCTCTTTCTCTTTTCTGTCTTTTCTTTCCTTCTTCTGTCACATATTTGATGGAGTCCTCAACTTTGAATTTTTGATCAAACGTATCTGAGTCCAACAAGGATTGGTACTCAAGGTTTACTCTTTCATGTGGAGTCAAAGCAAATCTCAACTTGATCACTTAAGTCTTGAAATCTGGGCGAGTAACCATACTTTGTTGATGTATCAACTTCTGTTTTTGCTTGGCATGCACTTTGCATGCAAGGATATATGAAGATCAATGGTAGCATACTGTACTAGAGGAACAAAGTGAGTTTGTGATTTAGTTTCTCATGTTTGTTCATTTATTTATTTACTAATTTTGAGTTAATGCATGTCTTGTCATTTTGCTGCCCCCAATTAGTTGGGAAAGGCTCTAACGATGATGATGATGATGATGCATGTTTTGTCATTTTCAAAATGTAATCGTTTTATCTTTACCAATTTCTATGGGTATTGTTCCTTGTCCTCAGCTTGTTGGACACCTTAGGAAAACTGTGTTAGTTATCAAGAAAATTTAGTATTGGTGGCTTGTCTATCGAGAGTTTCAGTGGCAAGCTCCATTAGAATCTGTTCACAAGTATTTCCTTCTTTTCCAATAATGTGTATTTCCTGATAAGTTTTTAAGCGCTTTGGCTTTCATGTGTGTTTTGACAGTTTTGCAATATACCACATCTTCTATTTTACATATCCATGAGTTTTTTTTTTCTAATTTTCTTTTCCTATAATATACATGATTTCGTCGCCTTCAAGTTTTTTTCTGATTGTTTATTTTTCAGGGGGTGTCAAAAAATTTACGGAAGGATTGTGTCTCAAGAGTCCAACCATCTCAAGCAAGTCTTTAGTTTGGCACTATGATCCTTTATTTCCATTTGATTGACACTTTGAGCAAGCCATCCTGTTCCAAATTATCTAATGTTTTGCCACATTGGGATTTGGGATGTCAGTGTTTCTTCCCGCAGGAATTTATAACAGGCATAGAGACCCCAATTTTTATAGTAAATTCAGCTTATGATTGGTGGCAGGTAAATGTTACCATCCCTTCTGTTCAATTTGAGAAGTCAATTCAAGCATTGACAATACTATCCTTTTTTCTTCAGATACAAAACATTTTGGCACCAGATGATGCTGATCCTCATAATGACTGGCTGAAATGCAAGCAGGACATATACAACTGTAATCTAGATCAGCTAAAAGTGCTGCATGGTAATGGCCCGATATCATATGATGAATATGCTACTAATTTTTAAATTGCCGTGTTTACCTTAGTTTTAACAGGTTTGTGACTAATGCAATGCAGAATATAGGAGTAGCATGCTTGATGCTTTGGAGCCATTCCAGCATTCTAAAAATGGGGGCATGTTTATAAATTCCTGCTATGCACACTGTCAGACTTGGAAGGATAAAACATGGCATTCACCTGAATCCCCAAGACTGAACAATAAGGTACCAATGCGTGCTTTTCTCTCTCATTCCGAAGATTCTTGTGGGGCTTGAAGAAACTTGCCTAATTGAATTGATAGTATTATATCTTGTGTAATCTGCTTTAAAAAAAGAAGCTTGTATGTTATAAAATAAATTAATGACGAGGAATAGGAGTTTGGAATGCCAATCCATTCAAATCTGTTCTAACATTTGAAGTGTCTTGGATTGCTTTCTAGTCATTTTATAGCAAGGTTAACTAATGGAGACTGGAGTGAAATGGTGTCTAGCTCGAGAGAGAGAGAGAGAGAGAGAGAGAGAGAGAGAGAGAGAGAGAGAGATGCTCCTCTCAC